CTATATCAGCTTGTATCACCCATCTTTGTAAGACACCACAGAAAATCTAGACGAGCTAGATGCTGCATGGTAATTCCTGCTATAAAAGTGGTGTGGTTTCACACATTTTGAACAAAATCTGATTTTGCAGTAGTACGTGAAAACTAAGTCTCAAAACGAAATACCAAAGCATGATCCAATTATGAAATGAGGTCATCAACTAATTTTCCAAACAGAGTTTCAGATTTTTAGTCTGTTTCAAAATTTTTGTAGTTTTCTTCTGTATTCACTGAATCTTTCAAGACAGCCTAGAGGAGTGCATTCTGCTTCATAACAGATAAGCTTTACTCCTTCCCATTGTGATAACTTCCTGAAAATATATAGGCTTCATCTAGAGGTATTTCCCTTATTCATGCGTATTACTGGTCTCCTTTGGTTTTCTTTGGACACTTTTGTTTTGTTAACAGGCATAAAACTCAGTGCAGTTTCTCTGCTTGTATTGCTCTTCTGCTCTGAGTGTTCTAACATAATAAACTCTGGGTTCTTATTTTAAAGCCTTCAGACAAGACACAATTTTTAGAAAAAAAAATGAAGGAAATACAGATAGAGTTCACTGAACAATCTTAAGAAAAGTAGACTATATAATGAAGCTCAAGTTTGCTGTCCATCAGAATAATTTTGATTCTATTACAGTGAAGGTGACCACTATATAAAACAAACCCATAGGTTAAACCAAAACATTTCAATGGGTAGTTGCAAATAAATTGTGTTTGCTGACAGAAAAGAATCAGACAGCAGGAAAGAAGAACTAGCAGATGCTGGCAATCATTTTAGCAAGCAGAATATTCTACAGGGATCATGAATTAGATAAGGAAGAATGTTATTATTTGCCATCTGCTACTGGTCTATTAGTCTGTCAGCATCTGGTGCCACAGAAAGATCTTTTTGATGTGAACACAAAAGTGATAGTTTTCTTCTGCTGAAAGGAATTCTGCTGAAGGTACATTACAGGTCTTGCCACTGGTCAATTCACTTAGTTTTTGAGGTATGCTATCTAAGGTTTGGTAAGAAGAGAACATAGTAAGAGTTCACCTCAATGATTATATAGTACAGTGTAATCAGTAAGAACTGAATAATAATCCCATAAGGTTGGCATTAAAACTTTCTATTCAATTTAGGCTGGTTTTTGTTTCCAAATGTCAGGCAGCAAATATCTAAGTTTGAGCAAAGCCAGTTGGTTTCAAAGTGTCTTAAACTGAACAGTAATAAAGCGAGGCACAGATCTGCCCCAGCCCAGGCTAGAAATTTGCACGTACATTTTGTCAACAGAATACTACTTGCTTAAGGTTGTTACTCAGTGGCAGTTTTATCTACGTTCCTGGGGATATTAATGGGTATTAAAGACATTCAAGTTGCTAACAATTTCATATTCATGATTGATATTGCAAGAGATAGCATGAAACTTCAGTACGCATAAGTTGTTGGTGGACTCACACATTAAACTGTGCAACAGTACACATGGAATGAGCTATACTGTCTTGCATTGATCTATTACTTAGAATGACACAACCCTTGCATGCCAACCAACCTTGTTCAGCAGAGGCAATACATGAATCTGATAGATTATATGGCTGAGCATGGAGCTTGCAAGGCATAAATGTACTTACTTTTGGTGTTGGGCAGGATGCAGTGGAGAGACGAGAGGTGGCCTGGGCACGAGGAGATTCTGAAGGAGTAGTACTGAGGGAGGCTGTATCACGTGGGAGAACTTGAACACCACGGGAGATGATGGAATCTGGAATCTTAAAAAGAAGAGAGATGGAATTAACAGTAAAAAATATACCATATGTAAAACTCAAAATCTTAAATCAAAACCACAGGCATACCCCACTCTTTAGTTTGCATGCCTCTTCATACTCAGCGCTTGCCAGTGGCTAAGGGCATGTTCTCATAATTTCAATAACAAATATCTAGCAAATATATTCTAGCTGAAGTAGCATAGAACATACTATCTATCCTGAAAAACCTGTGACTTGGACATACTACAAGAAGAAATAGTAAGAAGATAGTATCTTGAGCCTGTTTCAGACCCAACAATGACCAAATTCACAGACAGAGGCCACCAGAAAGTATCTCCTTCCAGGAACAAGCTTAAATCCTAGCTTTTAGTATGTGTTGCATTCTTAGAACATTAAGACAGCTTTGGTGCTCGTCTCTGTGTAGTTAAGATGAACAATCTCAATACTTGCATCATTAAATACTGGGGTTTTTTTTAATGTCATTTCCTACTCCCTCAACTTCCTTTGCTCTCACCTATAAATAATGACTATGTCTAACTTATCAACCTTGACTTAGACATACTGAGTTATAACTAGGGGATCTTATTTCACCATATACCCTCCTCCACATCTTAAGAGTTTCTCATGTTTATAGCCTGAGTGTAAGTTGCTTGAAAACAGATCTTTTTCTTAGTGTGCCACTAATGCCTCCTTGCTGCCCTTCTGCTGTTTCTAGACTAACTGCTTTTTGCCAGTCAATTTCTGTCAGCATTTAAAAACCCCCAACTTTCCTCAGAGGATCTTTCAAGACTAAGCAACTTGTGCTACAATTTCCTTTGTAAATAACGAAGTCAGAAGAGTTTCTTCTCACTATGGACAACTATGCTGGGGATCTCTCTTAAGAAACAGTGCCAAACTGGGCTCTACATGGAGTATTCTGATTTGCAAATCACACCTTATAGATGTACTTTAGAGGTAAACAGATTCAAGGATATTCTGTTTATTCAAACAGTTTGTAGTCAGAAGCACGATTTCCCTTCTGTTCACTTTTTCGCCTAAAATACCATCTTAAATTCGTTAAACCCCAAAACAGGTTGACAGCCTTAAGTTTTATATCAGCATAGATACTACCTACAACTTTTAATGCTTCCATTTAGTCTCCATGCCTAAGGCTAATTTAGCAAAAAATTACATTTTGATAAAGATGTAAAAAAAGACAGGACAAAAGAAGGAATAGCCTTCAAGCAAGACAGCTTTGCTTTACCCTCCTCTGATAAAAAGCTGCACACATCTTGATATGATTGTGAATGGGTCAATTACCTCTTTTATAGACTCCAAGACATCACAACACAAATAACAGTATTGCTTTCACAAATGATACCATGATCCAGTTCTCTCTAGGTTTACTCTGCTTACTCTAGAGTAACCAGATATTTCATACTGTCTCATGCCCTTCAGGCAAGATATGTTTTTTTATTTATTTCCCACCATACAGATCAATCATTGCTTCTAAAATTTTAAATTATATCACTTTTTTGTAACAACAAAAGTGCCCAAGACAATTCCAGTCTCCACTGAACTGTACATGTAGTACTAATTTTTGCCTGTGATAAAATTTAAATGTAAGTAAAATTTCAGCCATGACATTAATCAGAAAAGGAAGCTGAAGATAAAGGGAAAATATGATCACAGGCATTTAATTTCAATAAGAAACATTCCAAAATCACTACCTTTACATAAAATATTACCAGAAAACAATTCATATATGAACCTATCTAGAAATGTAAGTTCTAGAGAAAAAAGAATCTCACCAAGAGAATTAAGTTAGTTCAGTTACAAATTTTGCCCTTTCTCTAATATGAAAGTGGAGTGTGTTATATTTCTAAAAGCAGCACTAATATTCTCTTTAAACCACTACAACCTGCTGAATTCAGAGAAGGTACTATTATGCATACTAAATAGAAATATAAAAAATATAATATGATACATGGAATTTCTCATTTTTCTCACCTACATTTAGTAAGGTTTTAGGTGTTTTTTAAAGGAAAAAATTAAATTTACACAATCTAAGTCTCTAATCAAGACAACTTCTTGTTAATCCTGTTAAAGAAGTGAATAAACCCATGACAAATTTCTGTGTTTCCTGCAATAAAGAAGGGTGGGAAAATTATTACATTTTGGACAGATTTTTATTTAACCTTCACTAAGTCACACTCTGAGTATTTATGATGTCTCTCTCTAAAATTTTTCAACTAATTTTCCAGTTTCAAATATATTTAATAGAGGGTAGAGATCTCAATACTCTAAATGGGGTACAATAATACTCTCAGTTTAGTGAAAATACTTTCTATTTGCACTAGCTGGAGTAGAAAACCTGTTGTAACATACTGACAGAGAAAGACATGAATAAGAAATGAATGAAGTGATAGAGGAAGACATTTACTGTATCCATCAGTTATTGCTTCTACAATTTTTATCTGACTTGGCCTTTTTCTGAAGTACTACTATATTGGTTTCAATATTTGTGTTTTCAGACTAGAAAACTAAGCAGTGACAAGAAGGAGGAAAGGGCAAATATGTAAGTCCTTTATTCTTTTTTGCCCAGGACTGGAACAAAGATTAACAGTGTTAATGAGGTAAGAAAACAATCTGTAGATGGGAATTACTGTAACTGTTATACAACAGAAAACACGTCTTAAAAACATAGGGAAAGGACAGCTTAAAAAACCCACGACAATAACCTGCTGAAAAATAACTGTCTGCTCTGAGTTTGAAGATCTGATTTGGATTTATAGAATGCATAAGACAATAGCTCAAGAGTAACCTGCAAAAAGGCACAGAAATGTGGATGACATCTTCACAGCAAGCTTCAGATAGGTTAAATTAGCTGTTCTACTGATACTGAAGAATATGGTGCAAATTCTAGTTTAGTAACCTCAACTCAAAAAAAGGAACTACTGCAATAAATGTATGTGTGTATGTATGTACATGCACATGTATACGGTGTTACACTATTTGATTGATGGTTTAAATTACTATTTGCCTAAGGGAACAGGTCCTTTCTACTGAAACAGTTGCCTCCTATTCACCAAATCCAGTCATTTACAGTAAGTCTACTGCATCCTGACTCCTGAAGTCTTCTGGTTTTGAGAAATTCTACTTCTAAACAGAAACCAAAAATGACAGAGAAACAGCAAGTGATGAAAGCAAACTATGAACTCCCAATGCAAATGTTGTATTGTGTTGACAAAAAACCCATTGAGAGAAAAACTGCAAAGCAAGGTAAACAAAGGGGGAAAAGTTACAATTTTATAGTTCTAAAGTAGTAATTTTAGAAGATTATTTTAATTATATTCAATTATTGAGCATATTAGAAGATAAAGCTGATGACTAATCAGGAACACAGGCTTTATAACAACAACAATCCCAGTAGCTAAATGATTCAAACTGATAACACACAAGAACTTTACGTTGTTTAGCCCTGTACCTTATCCAAATCTTTTCTGTAGCAAGCAGCTCTAAAAGACAGTACTGATGTGCCTTTGTTAGAAGAAGATAAGCAACACTGTCCGTTCACACATAGACTAGGAGGCAGGCATAGTATTTTTAGCTACTGTTAGTGCAAAAGCCTCTTGGAAGTGTCTCTTACCAGTTCTCCTGCATTGCCTGCTGCATGATGGCAATAACTGATGAGACCAGGGATGGGTTGTTCACCTTTTGCCATGATAACAGCTGAACTGGTGTACGATGGATGCTTCTAATGTACAACACATAACAGCTACGAATACAGTGACAGGAAAACACAAAACTACACAAGCAAATGACCAAAAAAGGAATGAGGTGAAAGCAAGCGTGACACTCAAATGCCGAGCTCATATGAACACAGTCAGTTTAGATCTCAGCTATTTTCTGCCTTTAAAAATGGCACATATTATTTATCTTTGTCTATATCAAAAGAAACTAAACAATTCAAAATTTGCATTAATAAAATCTGATACTTGCAAGTGATAATTACCTTAATTCATCCCTGCAAAGACATATGTAATCAGGATTTTCTGTATATGGGGAGATGATCTCCAGCTGCAGCTGTCTTAGAAATGTCAAGATGTCTCAGACCTGAATTTACATTTCTGGAGTTAGAATGTTGCTGCTTTGGTTTAGAAATTGTTCAATATAATTTTGAGTTACTCAGACTTTCAATTCTCATAATGGGAATCAAAAGCACAATTTGTGGAGTAAATATAGAACAAAGCAGTTTGGAAAAAAACCTTTCCAAACACATGGGGATACATTGTCTTTCTGTTTGAAAACTGAAGACATAAAACTGAGGTAAACATCCATGTTTGGAAAAAAATCTTTCCAAACACATAAGAATATATTGAATTTCAATTTGAAACCCCAAGACATAAACCAGAAGTAAATATTTATATAGGGCTTCAAATAATATGACAATTCTTTGGAAAACATTTAAAAGTTGAATGGAAATTATTTACAACTGTTATTTTATCTTTTCCTTTTGCAGTCTCCAATTTAGTTGAGTTTGAGTAATGCTGATCTATGATTACTGGTTAAAGCTAGGCCATAAAGACAATATGATGATATTTCAGTTTTTGGCAAAATTCCGCATCTCTTTTGCTGACATGCACACTGGAATGCAGTATTTTAGACAGCTTATTACTTAACCTTCTACCTATCTGACATACATTTTATCAAGGCTTTTGCAAACCAATATTTTCATTTCAAATTAGATATTATGCCTTAGAAAGTTTTGTTGCAATTCCTTAACATGCCACCTACTGGACTTTGCATGTTCAGGCATGTGAGTACTTTGAATTTTAAAAAACCCACCAAAACCAGTCTGTCTCTCCAGAATGGTATCACAAAAATATACGCTAACATCAAGATAATAAACAATACAACTCCCACTGAAATTTGAAAACACCTACTAAAACAGAATTCATATATTTTTATGAAGCTATGTTTCTATAAAATATACCTAAAGTACACATTTGATCGCAAAGGCAACAATGTGTAGTCTTATCATGCAAAAGAATATTGGTGGAAAGTACCTGAGACAGAAACTAAGGGGCCTCTTAGGGAATCAAGCCAGACTCACCTTAGCTGCAATGGCTGCTGCTGTTATATGTGAAGAAGAACTGTCCTCTGTTGAGGCAACTCCGCTATCCTTCTTCTCTTCCTCCTCTTCCTCACACTGTACTCCTTTGTCTTCTGTCTGCTTGTGAGGGCTGGTGGTTGGAGGAGGAGAAAGAGGAGGTGGTGGTGAAGGTAGATCTTCAAGCTCATCGTGTACCTCCTTTATTTTTACAATGGCATCCCGTAAAAGATCAATGGCGTGAGGTAGGGCTGGCAGTATAAACTGAAAGCATTCCTACGCACAACAAAAGGAGAAATGGCAATGAAAAATTACCCGCATAATTAAATAAGGATTTTTCAGATTTACTCATAAAATATATTTGGGATTTAGATGCATCTTTTCACCCAATCACAAATAAAACCTTACATGCCCGACACAAGTGCTCATAGAACAGAAAAAGATCCAAACTCAGAACCAAGAACTGGTGACTATTCTATATATTTTTCCTTTTTTTATGCAAATATGGTAAATTGCACAACAGGACTACTGTAATTAAGCTAATACTGTATTAAAACTTCAGAAAACAAGAGTCAAATTTTCATGAATACATAATACAGAAACCAGTTCACAGCTGGCAGAATGCTACAAAAAAGTGGAATAAAAACATTAAGTACATCCCTGCAGGGATATTAGCTTCAAATCATTCCTATTATGCTCCTTCACAATTAGAGAAAAATTCATAAGGGTTTCCATAATAAAACCTTCATATAATTATATCATTTTTTTATTCATGGACTTATGCTATAGACTGAAAAAATGACAAACTACACTGATGTCATTATAATGCTATGCAACTCATAAAAAATGGTTCATAAATAATCTACCTTGCAAACTTCTCCTTGCTCTATGATCTTAAAAACAATCAGAAAATTTACTTTATACGGCTGGAAAAAGCAAAAATGCAGATGTCAAGCAATTTTTCTTGTTCCATAATGGGCATATACATATATAGCTAACTATGCTGCTAAAATATGCTAGTATTTCATCAAATAAAAGAGGAACCTCAGCACGTCATGTGCTGCAGCTGCTTGCTCAGATCAGGGTCAATACGCAATTCAGACAGGCTTCTTAGTGCTTTGTTCAGTAAAGTCTTGGAAAAATATTCAAGAACAAAGACTCTACAACCCTTCTTGACCATGTGTTCTAATGTTTAATTACCCTCAAAGTGTTTTGTTGGGGTTTTTTTGTTTTGTTTTGTGGTCTTTTTTGGTTGGTTGGTTTGGTGTGGTTTGTTTTGTTTTGTTTATTTGGTCAGTTTTGTTTGGGTTTTTTCTTTACCCATTTCTTTTTATCCAGCTGGAAACTACCTTATTCAATTTATGACGCCTGTCTCTAATCCTCCTCCCAAGCACCTCAGAAAAAAGGTTTTCTTCATGTTACTGGAGCATACTGGTTATAAACATGAAATTACTGGGAAATGATGACAAGAAGATGGTCACAAGAATGTATTGCCAGGGCAAGCAGACAGAAAGCTGACAAAGCTGACACTATTCCTTTAGCTGCACTTCATTTTCAGTTTTGTTTCAAACATAAGGAAGATTTAAAAAAATATATTCTGACATTTTAGAGTACCAGAATATAATTAACGGTAAAAATATTATAAATGGCTAGTGAAATAAATACTTTCAATAAAAAAAAAGACTACAGAAACAAAATAAATAGCAAAGCATCAGAAATTACTGGAGTTCACATGTTCCTCTTCGTAAGCAAAACATGACTCACAAACACTATTTCCTCGAATCTTCTAAATTAGAACACACTTTTCAGTTGCTCCTTTAAGAGTAATGAATTTTAAGTCAAACTGCTTCACAGATTTCTAAATTCTTTAAATATTCAATTTGCTACTGTAAAGAAATAAACAAGTGTTCTCTGGAGAAAATACATTTGGCATGCAATCCATTTTTGAGATGAAGCATTTATACTGCTGCCATTTTCTATTAATATTTTCATATTTTACTAAAGAAATATGTATACTGTTGCAATTTCATAGCTTTATATAAGCTTCTTATATGACTGTATTTATACAATGAAAAGGAAATTAATGTAAAAGCTAAAAATGAGAGAAATTCCTGTTATATACCTGTCCTTTCCCATTCCTGAGATTCAGCCTGTTATGGAACAATTTTCTATCCTATTCATCTTAAATATCTTTGCTAAAATCTAGTACTTCAAAGATGCTTCATACTAAAATAGCGACAGGACAGAGTATTATCATGACAGGAACACATAAAGCATCAGTTTACCAGAAGCCTGCTTGCATAATGCATTCACATGACTTATTTTCTTTTCCAGCAGAATTACCTTTTTCATTACTTACACTATATCAAACTACTGTTAAAATACTTATTAACACTTTTAAATTTCTTTTCCTCATTCTCTTTCTGCAATTTGTCTATCTTCACTGCCTGATGCCTCAGGGCAGAAAATGACAATTGCTTCTGTACGTAGCATGTCAGGAGTAGTACTGAACACAATAAAACCCACTAGATATTGTAGGCTATTTCATCTTTCTTAATTCAACCAAAGAAGTATTCACTTCTGAAATAATCTTCTTCCCAGTGCAGCAGTTCTCTAAGATGTGGTGCTCATTGCTATGCTAATTACATGTACATACATATGACTTCCCACTCATAACTGAAAGAATTTGAAGAAGGTATACTCCCAGCTACCATCCTCCAATGCCTGCTGCATGTTTTGCAGGCTTTTACATTTCTTTTTAATTACAGTCTCATTAGATTTCCTAAAAAGGCTCAAAAGGAGTGGTAGAACTATAGGAGAGCTTACTGAGTCCTTGAACCAAAACACGTCAACAGTGTATCTGAATGATGGCTATGATGGCTACTTAAGTACTAGTATTCACAACATTTCCTCATCAACTTCCAGGTGACAGTCCACATAAATGCTCTTTACTTGTCTCCAGATATATGTCTTTTTTAAGCAACAGTGACTTCAGGGCTGTGATGCTTAACACATTGGTACCGCCTCCTCTGTGACTGGGTACTACTCGTTCAGAAGACATCTACCAGGCATGCACTTGCTAGACCCCAGAGGTAAAGATGTTTTTTAACAAGTCTGAGCCCTGAAGAAATAGGTTCTTGTGACTTTGGCAGTTTTGTATCAGGTTGTACAGTCCACTCTACAGCTTTAGCAGTATTTGTGTGGAGAAGACTGTTTTCTATCAGCCAACTACACAAAAGTTAGTGAAAGATCTAGAGACATCTACCAGGCATGCACTTGCTAGACCCCAGAGGTAAAGATGTTTTTTAACAAGTCTGAGCCCTGAAGAAATAGGTTCTTGTGACTTTGGCAGTTTTGTATCAGGTTGTACAGTCCACTCTACAGCTTTAGCAGTATTTGTGTGGAGAAGACTGTTTTCTATCAGCCAACTACACAAAAGTTAGTGAAAGATCTAGCTAACATA